ATGTTGCAAATGGTTGAATTTCACTAGTACGCCATATATTTCCATTCAAACATGTTTCTTACTGGTCAAATATTGTCGTTTTCATTACATATTAACATCTCGTACAAGTATGTGTTCAAGAAACCTGCCTTCTTCGTACCAAATGTAAAATGCTATGATGTGTTAGCTATATCTTTAGTCCCAAAATAAGGTAATAGTCACAGCTGGGGCATCACGGCTTCGTGGACGCCAATATGCTCTAGAATTGATTTGTACTATAAGAGGACATTTATGTGAGTATCTCATTTGCAAGATGCTTTTGCATATCGGCTTTACATGTATTGAATACGCAGAATCTAAAGAGGCGGACAGAAATGAGGTCCAAATCGCTTCTAACCAATCAAATTATTCTTCATTGGCACCCGCTCTGTAAAATCCGTCCGTCGAAAACTTTATTGACATTTCTGAGCGCGTAATTTCAGGTTTGAAAACGTATTTTGCAGATCCTCGCCTTCTTCTTGTTGAACACGTATAAAAGGAAACGAGACGATGGCGAAAATTCATATAAAAGATGTGGCAAACGCTAATCTCACAGCTCACTATGTCTTTGGTCATTTTGGTTCTGTTGGGCTTTGCACTATCAGGAAACTGTATTGGCCAGAAGCCTGGGCCTATCTATGTTCAAAAAGTATCGGGTTCTTCCGTGGTGAAATATATTAATTTTGTGCAAGTGGAGGAGTTTATTAAGGTAAAAAATCTTTCTTCATGTCCATTATCTCTGTAATGAGTACTTTTTTCAGAATGGAAGCAACTTTTTCGTTGTTTTAGTGGGGAATGATTGCTATTACTGCAAATTAGTTTTGGAGAACATGGAAGTCATCAATAAGGCTTTGAAGGAAGTTGACCAATCTTTAGAGATGGTAGCGGTCAGTTGATTGTAACTTTCCTAACATACCTTTGCTTCTTATTTTAATATTCAATGCAGTTGCTTCCTATCCTTCTCGAAAACCTTACCATGCTGCATTGACGCTGGAAGACATCATTTTTGAAATTACCACTTTCCAACCAATCACAATCGACTCTCGTTGAAATGAATTCATTTTAACGATCCAGGGTGATATTTCTCATGAAGAATAGACACTGTCTGAGAAATGCAATATACTCGTTTGTGTAGTCGTAATTGGAAACGAAAGTGCTCTTCAGTTATACAATATAAAAAGCGTAGCTTTAGAAGAGAGCAGAAAGCTCTTCACTATGACAAAAATGTATGAGAGTGCGAAGAATAAGACTTCAAAACAGGAAGTATATCTCATCCAAAGTCATTTGTTCATGGCTAAGTTAAGACCCATACCTCTTTTTGTTTTAATAAACTATAGTTTAGATGGATATAGAGTCATCCTTGAATAAGCCAATCAGGGATCAGTTGAAGGTTGTGGCTC